TCAGAGCTCTTCAGCTTGCAGTTCCTCCTGAGTTTCTGCTTCCCAGTCTGGTCTCCCTGTTCGAGCTCTGTTTCCTTCTTTACTCTCAATTCCACCTCCAGCCCTAGTCCCCTGTACTACTGAGCCTCATCTTATTCTTGGCTTCTGATTCCTACCTTCATCTCTGGATATCTGGCTCTGATCTTGCCTCATGGCTCTTGGTTCTTGACTGCAGTTCCTAACCTGGGTCTTCATGACAAAGGTAGACTGCTAATGCTTTGGTCCCCAAGAGGAACTGCCTAGACCCAGCCAATAACCTAGCCACAGCTATTGTACGTCTGTACTCCCAGCCACCACCAGAGTGTAGGAGTCTAACTCAGGGTAGCAGGGAGGTGACTACCTAATCTGGGTCCAGAGTCCTCATGTGAAGACTTGTCCCTTCTTACCTCTTCTTTTGTCTTTATCCTTCCATTTTATCTCTATGTTATCTTCTATTCTGTCCCCTAGGCCTGGAATATTTTCCTTTTTGTAGGAATCAACCCTACATGGCACTGGGCAACATGGTATAGATTATTAATACACTCATTGCCTGTTATTTCAAGACCATCCTCCATTTTTTTCTGAGGCACAGAAATCATAGAATCATAGAAAAATAGGTCTGAGGGGGACCTCAGATCATCAATTTCAACACCACCTGCTCAAGACAGGAACGTCCCTGTCTAAACCATCCCAGACAACTGTTTGTCTAATTTTCTCTTAATGCTTTTAGTGAAAGAGATTCTACAGTTTCTCCCCTGTTAATCCTACCATCTATTATATTAAACTAGGTTTCTCAGTTCATTTTTATGCTCATAAGTGCCTAGAGGGGCACTATATTTTGTTGGTCAGTACTAGACACAGCACTGGTACTTACCAAATTGACTTAATGTATGTGTGTATTTTGATATCAAACAGAATAAGTACAACCCCCTTCCCCATCTGTTTCTCTACTGCCTCACTCAGGCTTGGGGTAAAATAAATCATAATAATTATTAAAAAGGATAATATGGGATGTTGCATGGGCAGGTCAGATAGTGAAGAAAAAGATTGCATTAAATGAGATCATGAGCTTAATTGAAAACGTTATGAGATGAATCTTGTGGTATGTATGTATTGACAGTGGAGGTAAACATGGATTAATATTTTACAAGTTAATGACACACAAGTGGCAAATATAGCCCGTGTTATCATGCAGGGCGTTGTTTCTATTTAAGCAGTAGATTGTAACTCAGATCCAGGCTCACATGAGTAAAACGCGGTGGGTACCTACATATTTTTCTGAATTGAGGCTTAAAGGTTATATTAGCGAGTTATGCTCCATGTAGTTCTCTACCCAAATGTTCTCTTGCTTTAAATGTTCCTATTTAAAGTCATACAATCCTTTTAGTATGAGCACAATTTTTAATAGTTTAAAGATGCATTATAGAGTTTTCTGTGGGAGAAGAGAATAAGCTATTCAGATATAAGCATGTTTAAACATATATAATATCAGGGGTTTCACAGGATATCATTTTGCTTAAAAATGAGACCTGTAACTGAAAAGCACTGACCGTATGAATATTGTGTGACTTGGCCTTTGAATGCTAATGAAGGTACTATCCTGGTCTCATTGACATGAATAGGAGTTTTTCCATTTACTGTACAGGGGACAAGATTTCATCAATAATGTTTATAGCCAGCTTATTTCTTCATTATTCTTGACTAACTTTATTCCTGGTGCCAAATAAAATATAACTTAAAAAAATAAAGCATTCATTAAATCATTAAAAAAAGACCCTGAAAATGTACACTTTTATCTTGATGTCCCTAGACTTGGCTTTTGAAGCATCTTTTTTCACTTGCTAAAGGACAGTAAGAATGATTGTGGAGTTATTAGTCTAATAGCTAGTCTTCAAGTGGTCAATGGCAGATGCTTCACAGGAAGGCATAAAACATGTTTAATATGCCTGAAAAGTGTTTTATGATACCATAACAGGAAACATCACCCTTCCTGATCCCAGCTGAGCACTCAAATTATGTATTAAATACAAGAATTTAGAGCCTTTGTAATGTTTAACTTGGACAATATAGCTGCTGTCACTTGTATAAATGGGACACTTTTCCCAGAAACTTAGCAGTTTGTCTCAACAACGAGATGGGCAGTCGTTGCACAAGAGAATACAACTTTGTGTAAGTTGACCACTGGCGGCATCTACACAAAACACTGACTGCGCAATTGTTACTGTGCAGAAATTTAGTATTTGGATATACAAGTAGCTGGCATTACTGCACAGTAGTGTCTCTGAATGACTTCTTGGTGATGCTGACTGCACAGTAGCTCATTACTAATGTACGATAGTTTGCGTAGTTTCGTAGCTTCATGCTGCATGACAATATTGCACAGTAGTAACGAGCTATTGCACGGTAGTAACAAGCTACTGTGCAGTAGTAATGAGCTAGTGCACAGTCAGTGTCTCATGTAGATGCAGCCACTGTGTGAAAAAGTGAATAAATAAATATGAAAAATATTGTAATTTCCTCCTAACCATTTCTTAAAAATGCTTTCAAATGCCTTAACTAGGCGTTGGAAAAATATATTTCATTTCATCCAGGTTGTCTTAACTGCACCTAATTATTCTTCTTTATACAGGTCACTCTTTCAGATGGCTACTGCATCTCCTTTCCATTTAAACATATATTCAAAAGGTTCAGTTTGCCATTGATGCTATAGAGATATGCATATTCCCTCCATTTTATAGACTATTTTATACAGGAAAGAATTGCACTCAGGTACAAGCAGGTATAATAGATGTTCATGATTTGCATCTTTCTGTGGGTTCAGATTGTGCCTGGGGTCTCAGCTGCAATGCTGTATTTCTATTTACTTTAATGGCTCTTCAGTGAGCCTTGGTGTAATAAGGTGAACAGAGTCAGTTCAATTCAGAACACTATGCTCTAAGCACTGATCCTTCTCAGCCAATTAAAACTGTTCAAGACTGTGAAAAAAATGTTTTCACCAAAACATGGCTTTCTAATCACAGCTAGACCATCCTTAGGACATTTCTCATTTTTAAACCACTTAAGAGGGTTTTCCTCAGGAACCCTGAAACCCACAAAAGCCAAAAACCTGATTTTTCCAGCATCGTGAAAATCCTGGCTGAAAGCATTTTGCAATTTCAGGTTGAGGGGGTTTGACAAAAAATTGAAATCTTTCAAAGAAAATGGGGAGAAGGGGATTGTAGAAATGTTTCACTGGCACAAGAGTAAATTAATCAATCTGGCCCTTAAAAAGAGAAAGGCTCCATGCAGGAATTATATCAAATTATTGGCCTCTGATTGTGTTGCAATTTGCTAATGCCACTGCATTATCATCTAAAAGAAAGTGCCACTGGCAAGTGTGTTGGCTTAGTACAAATTAGCTTGATTGATGAACTGACATGGAGAGACTTTGTTTAAGCAGTCATTTATTTCAGAAAACACTAGCAAATAAATATCAGTTATCTTGTGTAATTGTAGGGTGAAGTTTTCTGTTTGGAAATATGGATGCAATTCAATTTCCTTTTTGCACCAAACCCCGTAATGTTATAAATTTTTATTATCTTGATTCATAGAACAGACTGCTCAGAACTCTGCAGTGCCATTCAACCTGTTGATTATATGTCAAGACAGGCAATAAATCCTGATGAACTTTGCCCAGTGCTCTTATTTGTGGAAGATTAAAACTTAGGTGTAATAAAAAAAAAATCCATAATGAGGAGCTGCCTTTGCAGAGAGCTTTTTCCTCAATAATTATTAGCAAGCAAATCAAAGCAATTTCACCTGTCAGACTAATACATCTAGCCGCCTCTCTCTACTGAAATCAGAACAACTGCAACTCAAGGCAGTATCAACATAGACACTGCTCTGCTCAGTAAAAGGTAAATGCATGTATCAGTAATTATCTGCTGGCTTAAACCACTGATAGAGCTGAAGTGATTTAATAGCACCAGTATAGTTCAGGATATTGAATGAATATAAAAATAAATTTGAGATGCAGAATGTGACATGAGGTATGAGATGTGGCAAGCATTTGGTGGTGGTGAGAGAGAGGGGTATGATCTAATAGTGCACAGGGCATTACCCTGAGAGTCCAGAGACATGGATTCTATGCCTGGATCTACTAACTGTTTTGCTGTACTGATCTTGGGTGAGGAACTTAATGTTTTTGTGCTTGTATGTTTCCACTCCCATCCCTGGTCAATCTTGGCTATTTAAATTGTAAGCTCTTTTACTACACACACACACACACACACACACACACACACACACACACACACACACACACACAGCATGTGTAGACAAAACAATATTTCCTATTTATGCTGATGCAACTGTGTTTGTGTTTGCATGACCCGGGATCTCCCTCTGCTCTAAAGTCCATTTAGCACCTTAAACTAACGCTACTCAAAGATGTGTTCGTTTATGGCATTGTCCAGTTATACCGCTCCAACTGTGGATTTGTTCGTGCAAACAGCCAGAGACTCCAAAGACTACTAACTAATCCCCTTTGCCACGAGGGTGTGCTGTGTTTCAGCCTTTAGCCAGTAGGTGACGCTGCATGTTCTTTTTTACCCTCATCACTCCTCACCCCTCCCTCCTCCCTCACAGCACACAGTGGAGTGGCCATAGGTTCAGGTTAGGGTGGGTCCGCCCAGAAAAATTTATTATTATTTTAAAATGGGGAAGGCCAATAATCCCTTAATTTTCTTCCCCCCTCTTAATTCTTCCACCCCCCCCCACCTATGGTGCATGTCCTCGCCCCAGCCCATATACCCTCCTATCCTTGCACCCCCCACATCCCCCCTGTCATATGCTGCCACGGCAGTGGATGTAGCTTCCGATGATAGCTGCAGCATCACAGTAATGGTAAGTTTTTTGCAAGTAGTTTGAAACTTTGGAGTGAGTGGTTACATGACTTCTTTCAATATTGCAAACCTTCTGAACTTCATCACATTCCATTTCAGAACCACAACAAAAAAAAGTCCAGGGGTGGGATGCTGCATGCCAGACCTGACGCCCAGGATATGCAGCATCTCAGGTGATATTTAGGTAATATGTCCCACCAACCTTGTGTGTGTGCATGTGTGGGGGGGGGGCAAAAGTCTGTTTTTTCAACTGTGCTCCAAACCCCGCTCCTCTTCCTCTTCTTCCTTTTTCCTCCTCCTTGCAGAAAACTTTCTTGGGCGGAACTCATCGGGGGTGGCAACTAGTCCAGTAATGAATGAAGACAGTGAAGAGGAGAGTGAAATATGTTCATATTTTCAGTTTTTAAAATGTTTTTTACTTTTTATATATATTTAATATTGTTAAGCTGCAGCATTTTCAAAAAAGTGTTTTATTTTTGCTCTATATGTGTGTCATGTTTTCTTTGGGGTGGGTGGGTGGTTGGGTTGTTTTTCAGAGACCGCACCTGCCTCAGCATGGGGATGCTGTGCTTGGGAGGTTTTTATGGAGTCATAGCATTACTGGAAAGAGTTGCAAAGAATTGCAGGGTGGACTGTTATCAGAGAGAGGTCAAATACTTAAGTGCTAGCTAGGGTGCAGCCAGCATTTCTTGTAAGAAAAAAGACTAAGTAACCCCACCCACCCCCAGTGGGAAACAGGCAAACTGCAAAATTTCTCCATGCATGGACTTCTCAGGGCCTTTAGCAAGCCTTTAAAGACTTTTGCAAGTCTTTAATGCATTATAATGCATTTCATATGCATGGTCACCAAGGGAGGTGGGAGTTTGGGGCTAACGCCTGCTGCCACAGCTCCAAAACAGCTTCTTCTTTTTTTCTGAGATTTTTCTTTGCAGGATGTACTATTATGGGAGGTGCGATGCAAAAAAAATGATTTTCTTTTCAAGTCTTTCTTTGGGATGCAATATTTTCTTTACAAAATCCCGCATGCAGCACATTTCAGAACCAGGTTTGCCACCCCTCCTGACCGCCTGCAACCCACTTCTCCCCTGGAGAAGGCTCATCATATTTTGTTCAGGATTGCTTTGTCCTCTCTTGCCATCTCTCTCCTCTCAACCTTCTCAAAGGACAGGGAGAAGGTGAATGGGAAATCAGGGCCAGCACTCCCAGGGCAGCCCAGGGTAATCTGTTCCGCTACCTCTAGGCCTCTCAGAATTAAGTGTATTCAAAGAATGCATCATTGTGGGAGAAATTCTTTTCATCCAAATTCAAGAAATGTGTAATACCTCCTTCTCCTACACTAGGTATTGGCATGTCCTTATCAGATGGGTCTCAACTAAGCAGGGAGCTGCTAATTAGCCAAAGCCAGGGTTTCAAAAAGCACTCTACTCCCTATAGAGAGGTCAGAAGAGTTATGCAGCAGATGGCATATCTGACATATTATTGATGTACCTGAAGGGGAAGCCAACCAATCTGAAATATGGGCCCTGAACAGCTTTGTGTCTAGCTTGAGAAGCTACTGCACTCCTGCCCCTGGCTGGCTGCAAAATGCTCCCCAGCTCCCAGGTCCATGCCCTGAAATTAAGCAGGAGCAAATACAAATCAGAATTTTTTGTTCCCCATCTTTATTTTTTTCACAATAAATTTAATTCAATTGAGAAAACACAATAAAGCTAAAACAGTATACAAAGTCTTGTTTTACTCAACAATGCCGTTGGTAGTCAACTGGTGAATACAGTTTTTTACAGTACAGCTATTGCCAGCAAACACATTACAATAGGGTAAAACACCCATTCACAATATGCTCCCAAGGTCCCTTGAGTAATCCCTTGATATGATATGGATGGATGGAGGGCTGCATGGTGGGAGGGCGAGAGGGAGGGAGGCAGGCAAGCAGCCAGTCTGGTTACTGTCCCTTCCTGGTTATTGGCTGTGACCCAGCAGTGTTTTATTTTTGGTCTATATGGCATGCATGTCCAATGTGAGGTGTGTGGGGTGCTTTTCAGAGAGATGATGACTGCATGACTTTTATGGAGTCATGGCGTTACTTAAAAGTTGCAGGGTGGACTGTTATTGGATGGAGGTAGGTCAAATGCTTGGCTGGTGCTAGTGTGCATCCAGCATTTGTTGCAAGAAAGAAGACTAAGCAAACCCATGCACCCCTAGAGGCAAGCATGGACCTCCCAGGGCCTTTAGCCTTTAGCAATTCTATAAAGACTTTAGCAATGCATTACAATGTTCTCCACCAGAACCTGGGTGGGTGAGTGGGTGGGGAGAAGGAGGGAGGGCATCCTGCACCCCTTCCTGGTTACTAAACATGTTCCAGAAGGAAGGTGGCTGTGTCAAGTGGGGGGCCTCAGCCATGGTCCCCTAGGGGCCCCCTCAGGTGGAGATGTATGGCCTGATTCAGCTGGCTGGCTGAGTCAGGCCATGCTAATCTCTGTTACATTGTAACTTTTAAATTTTTGCTGGCCACAAAGCTTAGGTAGGGAGGTAGGGGTCCCCTCAGGTGGGGGCACCCAGGCATAGTCCCTGTGAAGAGGAACTGGCTAAAAAACAGATATTTACTTCAGGGAATGAGACTGAGTGGAGGGGAGCAGAGAAGATAGAGGGAGAGCACCATTTCCACATCAGTTGTTCCATGAAGATAGAGCAGCCCCGGGAGGGGAGGGGTGGTGCGCCGGTAGAGAGAGGAATGAGAGAAATCAGCAGAAGAAAGCCCGAGGAGGCTGCTGGGGGAGAGAGAACCCTGAGGACTGGTTCTGACTGAAGGAGAGAGCTTGACCACATCCTGTTAAGCTGGGAATTGCTGGCAAAGAGTATTCATCTTTTAAAAAAAAAATACTCTGAAAGGCGAAGGAACGTCAGCCAAGACAGCGGCAAGGAGAGAAAAGTGGCTGCCTTTCAGGTTATAGTGAAAGCTGGGTTTATTGTTTTCTTTTATTGTGTTTGGACATTTAGTGGAGCCAATCAGGCTCTAGAGGGTTTAAGGGGAGAAACAGCCTGAGTGACAGCTACTCCCTCACCTTTAAAGAAGCAGGAATACACAGAGAGATCTGGTGAGATAAGATCTCTCCTGGAGACAGGGCGACCTGTATGATAAAGACAGAAATGGAAAAAAAAAAGTAAAAATCCCTTGTTTAGTTCAAACTGTTAAGTTACAATTATCCTAAACTGTATATTATATGAGAGTGGAGCCAGCTGAATATTTCTGAAGTTAAAATTAAGGTTTACCTGAATAGCATACAACAATCACAGTCTGTCTAGCTGTGGGTTGGTTATAGATGTAAAAATAAATCACAAAAAAATAAGGAAAATGATTTAACCCAAATAAGACTGTGATTCAATTGATGACTTAAATTTTGGGTGGCAACTGGAAGAATCACAGGAGAGGTTGAGATCCAAGTAAATCCCTACATAGATTGCCGGTGTCTAACTGTGGTAGAAAATAAGGAACACCTCCTGACTAATAACATCTTAAAATAATCAAGACATGGCAAGCGAGACTAGAACTAACCACAGGGGGCGCAAGTCTGGGCAATCGCAGAAAGAAGGGGCTAGAGCTCGAACGTAAGTGATACCACCACAGTCCCTTAGGGACCCCCTCAGGTAGAGATGTATGGCTGGCTGGCCCAACTCAGCTGGCTGGCTGAGTTGGGCCATGCTAATCTCTGTTACATTTTAACTTTTGAATCTTTGCTGGCCACAAAGCTTAGGGAGGGAGGGGCCCCCTCAGGTGGGGTGGGGGTGGACTTTCTACTTTCTGTTATCCTTATTTATTTAAACTATGTTCTGTTACTTAAACTACTTCCTGATATCCTTATTTATTTAAAATCTTCCTTCCCTCTGCAAGTGAGAGAAGAAACTCAAGGGGAGCATATAAGCAGTGGAAACAGGGAGAGATTACTACAGAGGAGTATACCTCCTTAGCTCGCATTTGTAGGGAGGCAGTTAGAAAGGCCAAAGCTACCATGGAGCTGAGGAAGGCGTTCCAAGTTAAGGATAACAAAGAATTGGAGTAGGACCACTACTGAATGGGCAAAAGGAATTGGTGACAGACAGGGGGGACAAGGCTGAACTCCTCAATGAGTTCTTTGCCTCAGTGTTCCCAAATGAGGGGCAAGACAAGTCTCACAATGGGATTGTAGAGAGACAACAGCAGGGCACCAGACTACCAACCGCTGACCCTGAGATATTGCAGAATAACAAAGAATTGGAGTAGGACCACTACTGAATGGGCAAAAGGAATTGGTGACAGACAGGGGGGACAAGGCTGAACTCCTCAATGAGTTCTTTGCCTCAGTGTTCCCAAATGAGGGGCAAGACAAGTCTCACAATGGGATTGTAGAGAGACAACAGCAGGGCACCAGACTACCAACCGCTGACCCTGAGATATTGCAGAATCACTTGGAAGAACTGGATACGTTTAAGTTGGCAGGCCCGGATGAGCTCCATCTGAGGATACTGAAGGCAATGGCTGATGTCATTGCACAGTCACTGGCAAGAATATTTGAACACTTGTGGCACACGGGCCAGGTCCTGGAGGACTGGAAAAGGGCCAATGTGGTCCCCATTTTCAAGAAGGGGAGGAAGGAGGATCCAGGCAACTATAGGCCAGTCAGTCTCACCTCCATCCTTGGCAAAGTCTTTGAAAAGATTATTAAGGCTCATATATG